GTTCCGACGGATCCTCCGACAAGGCCACGAGCACGGAGATCCGGCAGCTGGCTGAACGCCGGTCGTCATCCTTCCGTGCCCTCGAGCGTGCTCTGGACACTCGCCTCCTCCTAGGAGGAACGCGAGAGCCCGCCATCTCTCTCGTCGCCGCTCGCAGCCCGGGCACGGGTGGAACCCGATTCCTTTTTGCGAGCGGGACGCGAGCACGCACTTTCCCCACCCAGAAGGCTGATGCAACGCGAGCGCCGCACCTGCCGACCCGGGGTTTGGGCTGCGATTGACCCCGCAACCCAAGGGCTCACTGAGTGTGTCAATGATCCTTCCGCAGGTTCACCTACGGAACGGTGAAATCCAGCATCCTCTTCGGGACGAGGAGCGCGGTCTCCCGCGCTCGCCGACTGTATCTTAGGCCTGCTCGGAGGCAGACCCACCGTCGTTCAGTCTGTGAACTGCCCCTTGCCAGTCTCGGGTCCTGGAGGTAGGACCCGGAGACGGGCCCGGGTTGGCTGCGGATCGTCTCACCCGGCCGTGCATTGTCACCATACCCCGACGCCTTGTCTGTGTTGGGCCACGCCCCCGGCCGTCTGACCTCGTTGATAAGAGGGGGGCAGCCGAGCCGGGCTGGCGCTTGGTAGCACGGCCTCTCGAGAGGTCTCCGCAGTTGGACGGTGTCGCGCCGAGGGGGGTCGCGTTCACGGGCCGCAAATCCCACCCCGATGCACTAGCGCTTAGCGTCCCTCCCCTCTCTGTCCATCGGGAGAGGGAGAGACGCACCTGCCCCTCGAGAGGCAGGCCGCTCAGGCTTCCGTGTACGTGCAAAGCCCCTGCGGAAGGGGTTTTGTGCCGCGCACGGCAACCTTGTTACGACTTCTCCTTCCTCTAAATGATAAGGTTTAATGAACTTCAGGCAGCGTCACCGACGGGTGACCGTCAGCGTCGTCGCTTTCCGTAAACTTCACCGGATCATTCAATCGGTAGGAGCGACGGGCGGTGTGTACAAAGGGCAGGGACGTAATCAACGCGAGCTGATGACTCACGTTTACAAGGTATTCCTCGTTGAAGATCAATAATTGTAACGATCTATCCCCATCACGATGAATTTTCAGAGATTTCCTAGACCTCTCGGTCAAGGGTGAGCTCGTTGAATTCATAAGTGTAGCGCGCGTGCGGCCCAGAACATCTAAGGGCATCACAGACCTGTTATTGCCTCAAGCTTACAGTTGGCTAAACGCCAACAGTCCCTTTAAGAAGTCAGCTGCGAACGCGAGCGTTCGCATGCCTATTTAACAGGCTGAGGTCTCGTTCGTTAACGGAATTAACCAGACAAATCACTCCACCAACTAAGAACGGCCATGCACCACCACCCATAGAATCAAGAAAGAGCTCTCAATCTGTCAATCCTTACTATGTCTGGACCTGGTAAGTTTCCCCGTGTTGAGTCAAATTAAGCCGCAGGCTCCACACCTGGTGGTGCCTTTCCGTCAATTCCTTTAAGTTTCAGCCTTGCGACCATACTCCCCCCGGAACCCAGAGACTTTGATTTCTCTCAAGGTGCCGGTGGCGTCGTGGATGTAACATCCACCGATCCCTAGTCGGCATCGTTTATGGTTGAGACTAGGACGGTATCTAATCGTCTTCGAGCCCCCAACTTTCGTTCTTGATTAACGAAGACATCCTTGGTAAATGCTTTCGCAGTGGTTCGTCTTTCATAAATCCAAGAACTTCACCTCTGACAATGAAATACGAATGCCCCCAACTGTCCCTTTTAATCATTACTCCGGTCCTGGAGACCAACGCAATAGGACCAGAGTCTCACTCTCACCTTGCCATGTACTTATAGAGCCTTGGGCTCTTTACCTAATCAATCATTTCAACTCTATTTCTTACAGTGAGTGCGCGGGAGAAGCAGTGAGTGCAGGAGAAGCAGTGAGTGAACGGGAGATGCAGTGAGTGCGCGGGACACACAGTGAGTGCAGAAGAAGTAGTGAGTGCGGGGGAGAAGCAGTGAGTGCGCGGGAGAAGCAGTGAGTGCGCGAGAGAAGCGGTGAGTGCGCGAGAGAAGCAGTGAGTGCAGGAGAAGCAGTGAGGGCGGGGGAGAATTAGTGAGTGCGAGGGAGAAGCAGTGAGTGTGCAAGAGAAGCAGTGAGTGCACGGGAGAAGCAGTGAGTGCGCGGGAGAATCAGTGAGTGCAGGAGAAGCAGTGTGTGCGCGGGAGAAGCAGTGAGTGCGCTGGAGAAGGAGTGAGTGCATGGGAGAAGCAGTTAGTGCGCGGGAGAAGCACCGTGCGGGAAAAGCAATGAGTGCGCGGGAGAAGCAGTGAGTGCGCTGGAGAAGTAGTGAGTGAGCGGGCGAAGTAGTGAGTGAGCGGACGACGAATTGAGTTTGCAGAAGAAGCAGTGTGCGGAAGAAAGAGTGAGTGCGTGGGAGAAGCAGTGAGTGCAGGAGTAGCGAGTGCAGGAGAAGCAGTGAGTGTGCGGGAAAAGCAATGAGTGCAGGAGAAGCAGTGAGTGCAGGAGAAGCAGTGAGTGCGCGGGAGAACCAGTGAGTACACAGGAGAAGCAGTGAGTGCAGGAGAAGCAGTGAGTATAGGAAGCAGTGTGTGAGAGTACGACCCCGTTCCATTCCCTTTTCCTTTCCATCTTCCCTTTCTATATTATTCCTCTTTTTATCCTGATTCATTTGGTGTTTATCTTATCTCATTTGGTTTCCTTTTCCATAAACCTTTGTTTTATCTTGTTATTATCATTATATGACTGACCAGGTTCAGGGTGTACTGGTGGCTGTATCCTCGCGTAGCTACACACAGGGTGATTCTGCTTTCTAGAAGGGTTTATTCCTTTTGGATAGGATAAACCAGGTTACCTGATGTACTCTGGAAGTATAAATGTGCCTTGTATCAATCGATAGTGCAACCTTTCCTCGACACATTCAATCATTTGACACTTGGTATCAGAACTTTTCTCACTCGGCCGCGCTCAGCTAAGCATTAGCAGCTCCGTTTCTGGTAAGCACCAGCTCCGTGTTTTTTCGAATTTCCCCCCCCGCGCGTGTTTTGAACAGGATGGCAAACTTCGACAACGATGAAGTTACCCAGCAGCTCTTCTCAAGCATCGCCGCCCTACAGGAGGAGATGCGAGCCGACCGCAAAGCTTGGCAAAACGAGTTCGAGCGAGTAGCTCGACTCGCCGGCGCGCAAAACGAACGACAACGGCGAGGACGCAACAGTCGCAGCAGTTTCTCAAGGCTCCGAAACCAAGTCCACCTGAGCTGTTCGATCCGAACGATCGAAATTCCGACGCCCGCAGATGGATCGCCGCCATGGAGATCTTCTTCGCAGCCGTCGGATGGAGCTCGCCAGTCTGGGACAGTCAACGCGTACGACTCGCGGTGACACTGATGCGAGGACCGGCACTCGAGTGGATCGGCGGTAACAGCACCTTCATCCACGGCGAAGCCACGTGGCAGCAGTTCCGCACTGACCTGCTGAAACATTTCGAGCCAATAAATTCGGGTTTCCTTGCCCGGGAAAAAAATCATCGCCATCGACAGTTCGGGAGTGTAGCACAGTACACGGAGTAGATGGAAGAATTTTATAACCGCATTCCTGACCTGACCGAAGGGGAAAAAGTACAGTCGCACCTCGCCGGGTTGAAGACCGAAGTCAAACGACAAGTAGCAGCGACAAACTATGCGAGCTACAGTGACGTCGTATCGGCAGCGGAACACTTCGACATGGTCAACGCCATGACACGACGGCCGCACGTCAGCAGTATGCAACAGGGCGACCGCTCGGCTCACCCCACGTTCGCCGACCCGATGGAAATCGACCGGTTCGAAGGGCGGCCAAGTCCGAAAAACAGCAACTTCACGTGTGATTTTTGCGGGGTGCCGGGTCATCGAATGAAACAAAATGAAAGACGCACGCGCTGAGTATCGGGTACGCAACAGTGGCGGAAATCCTTCGGCCAATCAGAGGACAAAAAACGGGACTCGCCAGTGATTGCGGATCTAGATTGCGAAAAAGCAAAGATCCGAAAGCGGCCGCGGACTTCCGGAAAAATCAACTTCGACGCAGCCGATTCGACGAGAACAGGAGAAAATGATGGGGAAAAATCTCCACCCCACGACCAGTCTTTGCCAGAGGAAATCGCCGAGGAAAAACCTAACTCCGCGAAAAAGGACTCTGCCAAGACAGGGAAACTCCTTGAAGACCCAAGAAAATATAAGGATTGATTAAAGTTATCTTATAGAGATGCTTTAATGAAAACTTGTAATTCTTGAGGGACTAGAGCCTTGGAGAAATTTCGGGAGGGGCTCCAGAAGAAGCAGAAAATTGTGGAGATCATACCGGTAACAGAGAACCTGGGGACCAAATTAAGGAGTGTGGAAAGAAGCCGACCTTTCCACGGAGTCAACATCCTCTCGTGACACCAGCCCACAGCGACTACCCGTTCCCCAGGGGAGACGTTGGTGGAGCTAAAGCAGCGTAAGGGGAAGCTGGGGGTCTACAAGAAACTGCGAAAACCCCGAACTCCTCCTTCGGATGCATCCAACTCGGCAACTTCGTCAACGACACGAACAGTCATCACGGAAACTCCGGGCCCTGGAGAAGATCCTTTCTCCAAGCAGCCTCGGCCAGCTGCCAGCTCAGGAGTAGGAAGCAACAAATACTGGGATGTACCCTATGACCCAATCAATGAAACTATCTTTGGGTACTCCGAGCAACGCCCGCCCCTCGTGCTCGAGGTCATCTGCAAAAGACGACGCCTCCAAGCACTTGTGGACAGCGGAGAATCGCACACTGTTTGCGAGAAGGCAGTAATAAACCGACTTCGGGAAGATTACAAGGCTTCAGTATTCTCTACAACAATGGTGGACGGCAGCAAGTTACCAGTACACGGCACAGCAGTGTTACACCTACAAATCGGACCACTGCGCTGGAGACCTGCACTCCCCATCACCAACATAAAAGGGCTTGACTTGATCTTCGGGCGAGACATTCTAAAAAGATTTAACCCCGAGATCAACTAGGTAAATTGCACCGCAAGCATCTACAACAATGGAAGGGGAGTCCACCTACCAAACTGGGACGATACAGGAGATATCCCAGTGGAGACACTCGCAAGATTCGAGAAGGACGTCAAGCGAACCGACACCGGGTTCCTGGCGATAGCAACAGAGGTGGAAAACGATATGGAGAATGTTAGAAACAGAAAGGTTGAGTTTATTGATGAAGCAAAGGCATTACATAGGAAGAGAGAGATGAGCTAGGAAGGGAAGGTTGGAAGGGAAAGGGGGGTTAGGACCAATCACAAGGGAGGGAGGATCCTTCCAAATGTGCTTGACCACCAGTTGGAGGTGGTCCAAGTGTGGTGTACCACCAGTGGTTTAGCCAACCCACTTGTGGTGCCCCCACAATTGTGGTCCTTGTGTTTGGGGGCTCCAACCACAATTGGGTTGGATTGACACCCCAACACAGGTGTACACCCAACTAGGGATGTAAACACAATATACACAACTAGCATAGCATGGTATATTCTAACACAACCCCATAGCATGCAAAGCTACTGTATATGTAGGGTACAACCCCAGAATCAGGAAGGGGGGCGGGGCCCAAGGCCGAGAAGGCGGAGGAGGGCAGAGTGCGCGGTCTTCGGGAGGGCCTTGGTGAAGATGTCGGCCAAGTTGGCCTCTGCAGCGATCTTGCGGACCACCAAGTGACCTTGCTGGACCAACTCTCGAACGAAGAAGTAGCGGAGTTCAATGTGCTTGGAGCGGCCATGGAAGACAGGGTCCTTTGTGAGATGGATGGTGCTGGCGTTGTCGCACCAGAGGGTGGGACAGCGCTGAGGAGCACCGATCTCAGCAAGGAGGAAGGTGAGCCAGCGAGCCTCCTGAGCGGCCATGGTGCAAGCATAGAGCTCAGCCTCGCAGGATGAGAGGGCGATGGAGGAGGAGCGAGTGGAGCGCCAGCTGATGAGGCCGCTGCCAAGGGTGAAGCCGTAGCCTTGAGAGGAACGGCGATCCGGCTGGCAGTCAGCCCAGGAGGAGTCACTGAAGCCAGAGAGGAGGGGAGGAGAAGAGCCTCCGAGGGTGAGGACATAGTCCTTAGTACCACGGAGGTAGCGGAGGACCCGCTTCGCTGCAGCCCAGTGCTCATCAGTGTGGTGACCGGTACCGACGAATCGAGCAAGAACACTGATGGGGTAGGCAAGGTCGGGGCGGGTGCACATCATAGCGTACATCAGCGAGCCGACGAGCTCAGCGTAAGGATGGTCAGAGGAGGAGGGAGCAGGAGGAGGGGCAAGCTGGTGGTCGGTCTGCAGGGGAGTGGTAACCGGCTTGGCCTGCGCCATGTCGAACCGCTGCAAGACTTGGTCGATATAGAAGGACTGAGAGAGGGTAATGGTGCGCGATGTGCGGTCCCGGGTGATGGTCATGCCCAGATAGTGCTTGAGCTCACCCAGGTCCTTGCACTTGAGGCGCGCATGCAGGGCGTCCTTCACTTGCTGCATGGCGGCAGCATCGTCAGCGAACAGGATCATGTCGTCGACATACACCAGGATGAAGAAGCGGGTGGGAGAGGAGCGAAGGAAAAGGCTGGCATCAGACTGAGAGGCATGGAACCCCAAGGACTGCAGAGTGGCGGCCAGCTTGTTGTGCCACTCGCGAGGAGCCTGCTTGAGGCCATAAACCGGGCGGCGCAGCTCCCAGACTGTGTTGGCAGGGAAGGCTGCATGAAAGCCTGGAGGCCGCCGCAAGAGGACCCGCTCCTGGAGCTCGCCTTGCAGGAAGGCGTTGGAGACATCCATGGAGGCAATCTCCATGCCAATGCGAACAGCATAGTCGAGGATGGCACGGAGAGTTGGGAGCTTGGCAGTGGGAGAGAATGTCTCCCAGTAGTCGATGCCATGGGTTTGGGTGAAGCCCTTGGCACAATGCCGGGCCTTGTAGACCGGCTCCTCACCCGGCAGCTGCTTCACTCGGAACACCCACAGGCCTTCAACAATGACGTCGTCAGGAGAGGGGACAATGTTAACGAATGAGGCATTGCGGATGAAGGCCTCGCATTCAGCAAAGATAGCCTGGATCCACTTGGCAGCATCTGGGCAGGTGATGGCCTCAAGGAAGTTGGACGGAGTGAATCTGGTGGGAGCGGTAGCGATGCCAAGGATGAGGAGGCCAAGGAAGCCCGGGTAGAGAGGCGTGAGGGAAGGTGTTTGTTGCTGAACGCCAATGAGCTCCTCATGGGAGTCCTCAATGAAGGGAAGGGAGGGTGGGGGTGGTGTTGGCCAACCCCATGGATGGCCTATGAGTGGGCCGTGAGAGTGAGTGTGGATGCGTGGGAGGATGAACGGAGAGGTGGTGCGGCGATGCCAATGAGGTTGCTGCAGTGGCTGCTGCTGCTGCTGCTGCTGCTGTGGCTGCTGCTGCTGCTGCTGCTGCACCTCCTGCTGCGGCTGCTGTTGCTGCACTGCCTGCGGTTGCTGCTGCTGCTGCTGCTGCTCAATCCGCTGCTGCACCTCCTGCTGCTGCTGCTGCTGCTGCTGCTGCTGCTGCTCCATCCGCTGCTGCTGCTGCACCTCCTGCTGCGGCTGCTGTTGCTGCACTGCCTGCGGTTGCTGCTGCTGCTGCTGCTGCTGCTCCATCCGCTGCTGCACCTCCTGCTGCTGCTGCTGCTGCTGCTGCTGCTGCTGCTGCTCCATCCGCTGCTGCTGCTGCACCTGCTGCTGCTGCTGTTGCTGCTGCTGCTGCTGCTCCTTCTGCTGCTGCTGCTGCTGCTGCTGCTGCTGCTGCTGCTGCTGCTGCTGCTGCTGGTGCTGGTGCGATGAGGCAGAGTGAGCAGGGGAGTCAGGGACAGCTGGGTCGTAAATGTCACCTGAGGAAGGAGGAGGGGGAGGAGCAGGATTTGGAGGAAGGAGGGGAGCCTGGGGAAGGAGTGGGGGAATGACAGCATCAGCCCAGGTGAGGGGGCGGGAGAGAGGAGGAAGGGGGTCGGAAGGCGGAACAGAATGATAGAACGGGATGCTCTCATCGAACACCACGTCACGGCTCTGTAGGAGGCGGCCTGAGGACGGGTGAAGGAAGAGGTAACCAGGGGCAGAGCGAGCGTGGCCAAGGTAGACACACTCAATGGCCTTGGAGGCGAGCTTTCCTGCCTGCCGAGAGCGGTCAGGTGGGGGGATGAGGACATATGCCTTGCAACCCCAGATACGGAGAATGGCAGCATCTGGCTTGGTGCTAGCCCAGAGCTCAGTGGGAGTGACAGACTGGCGTTGAGGATGTGGGTAAAGATTAGTAAGGAGAGCAGCATGGACAAGGGCATAGCCCCAAAGAGAAGGGGGCGTGGAGGCATGAGTGAGGAGGCAGCGGGCCGTCTTGGTGATCTCACGAATGCGACTCTCAGCAACACCGTTCTGCTGAGGGGAGTGGGGAAGGGTATGAGTCTGCTGGATGCCATGGGTTGAGCAGTAGGAGGAGAGGGTGCGGTTGAGAAACTCACCACCGCCGTCGGAATGGAGGCGGCGGATGGGGCGACCAAAGTGGACTCGGCACTGCTCGGCCCAGGTAACGATGACAGCAGGGGCCTCGGCCTTCGTGTGGAGGAGGAACACCGAGGAGTACCTGCTGTGGTCGTCGACTAGGACAAGCATGTACCGGTGCCCTTGGCGGGAAGGGGAAGGGTTAGGGCCCCAGAGGTCCATGTGGACGAGGTCAAGGGGGGCAGCAGCAAAGGAAGGATGACTGAGGTGAGGCTGTTGTTTGAGCTTTCCATGAATGCATGTGGCGCATGGGGGAGCGGAAGAGGACGGGAGGGGAGGAAGAGTGGGGGGAAGACTGTCAAGCAAGCGGGAGGAGACGGCTTTACGAAGTGTGGGAAAGTTCATATGACCAAGGCGGTGGTGGATGAGAACAGCGGGGTGGGACAGTGCGCGACAAGAGCATGGGGAGGAGGTGGAGTTGGAGGAAGGTGGCTCTAGAGGGAGGGGAGGGGGGAGAGTGGAGGTGCCTGCACGAGTGGTCACGTGGCATGAGGAGGGGCGGGGTGTGCGGAGGATGTACTGACGAGAGCGAGGGCAAAGTGGGAGGCGATGAAGGAGGCGGCGAGTGGGGCCGTGGAGGAGGTCACAGTAGGTGGCAGAGGCGGGGAAGAGGGTAGTGATGCCAGCCTGTTGGAGTTCACGAATGGAGAGCAGGTTATGACGAAGGGAGGGAATGTGGAGACCAGTGACCACTCCAGAGGGGAAGGGGGGGCAGGGGAGGGTGGAGAGATGAGTGCAAGGGATGGAGAAGCTGGAATCAGCACCATGAACGTTGGTGGGGAAAGGGAGGGAGGTGAGGGTGCCGGCGTCTTTGAGGGCAGTTTCAGTGGCACCACTATCGAGAACAAAGTCAATCGTGAGCGAGGAGGGAGCTGAAGACACGGGGTACTGGAAATCATTGGCATTAAAAACAGAGGGATACATGGAAGTGGAAGCAGGGGAAGAACGCATGAGCTCGCCTAGAAAGCTGGAGTGGGAGGCGGGAGCACTAGGGGAAGGAGAGCCCCAGAGGGGAAAGCCAGGAGGACCTGGTGTGGCTGTGGCAGCCATGGCGGCGGTGCCAAAGCCAAGCTGCTGCTGCTGCCATGCAGATGCTGCGGCTGCGGCTCCTGCAGCTGCGGCTGCAGCCTGACCACCAGAGCCCCACTGCTGCTGCTGCTGCAGCAGCTGCAGCTGCTGGAAGCGGCAAAACTGCTGCAGCTCCTGGGGAGTTATGGGGTCAGCGACAGAGCAGGAGGAGGAGGAGAGCTGAAGATGAGAGGGGAGGAAAGACGGAAGAGTTTTGACATCCTGGAGAGAGGGGCGGGGATCCATGGCAGACCAGCGTGGGGGTGTGCCAGTGTTGCCGCGCTCGAACCAGGCGTCATCATACGCCTTGAAGCAGGTTGCAGGGGGATGGTTGGTTTGGGTGCAGCGCTCACCCGCCCTGGGACCAAAACGGCGAAGATAGGAACATGGGGGGAGAGTGCCAGGGCGGCCACCACGGCTACCAGATGAGCCACTACTGCCTCCACCACCACCACTGCTGCCACCCTCGACCCCGCCACCACCGCCGCCGGCTCCGCTGCCCCCACAACCGCCACCTCCACCCCCTCCCTGAGGGTTGGTGCGGCCGCCACGTGGGCGCCCGCCACGACGCGGCTGTGTGACTGCAAGCTGGGGGTTTTGGGACTCGGTGGAGTTCAGGCCGGAGGGGGGGGTTGAGAGAAGGCGGGCCTCAGCGTCAATGATCCATTGGACCACAGTGTCAAAGGAGGCGCGGGGCTGAGCCTCAGTGAAGGCGATGACGCGCACTTCATATTGAGGGGAGAGGCCTTCGAGGAGACGGTAGATCTGAAGGTTGGGGGGGAGAGTAGTCTGGCGAGCCTCAAGGCAGGAGGCAAGGTCCAGGAGACGGCTGGTGTAGTCAACGGCGCCAGCACTATGTTCGATCGTGATGCTGAAGTATTCCTTGAAGAGCGGTCCGACAGCATCGAAGTCGGTGCGTTCGAACATTGCCTCAAGCTCGAGCCAGATCTGGTGGGAGCCGATGCGACGTGCCTGGAAGTTGCGCATGAGCGCAGACGGGATGGCAAGGAGAAGGGCACCAGTAGCACGGCTGTCCGCCTCGAGCCAGGCGCGACGACGCTCAGCAAATCGCGCAGAGTCAGCGGCATAAGCGGCGGCGGTAGCGGCATGCTGGGTGCGGAGGGTTGCCGACTGCTCGTGTTCCTCCAACGCGATCAGGTAATCAGTATGGAGTACGAGGAACTCACGACGCTGAGTAAGGAAGAGCTGCTCAACTTCAGCGGTGGCAGCGCGAGTGCTGGTGCCAACGGGTACCATGGGGGGCGGAGGTTCCTCGCCGGGATGGGGAATGAGAGGGGGGGGATCGCCAGGGTGAGGCGGCGGGTCCCCAAGGTCACCCTCTGGGAGACCAAGCATGATGTCCAGGAGGCGGAACGGCAGGACATAAGCACTGCCGAGGACGCGGTGGAGGCTGCCGACGAAGGAATACCAGTTGGTTGCTGAGTTGTCGGCAGCGCGCACGAGATGATCGAGGGTCGAGACGTCGACGGGAGGGGGAAAGGATGCCATTGGTGATACGGAGTGGGAGGAAGGTGACGGCGGGTGGACCCGCGGTGGCCGGGAGGGAGCGGCGGCGGGTGGACCCGCGGCGGCTCAAAGAGGAGGGGAGGATGGGGATGGCTGTAGATACTGCTGCTGCTGCTGCTGCTGCTGCTGCTGCTGCTGCTCCTTCAGTTGCTGCTGCTGCTGCTACTGCTGCTGCTGCTGCTGCTGAGTCTGCTGCTCCTTCTGGTGCTGTTGCTGCTTCTGCTGCTGCTGCTACGGCTGCAGCAGTGGTAAGGCGGCGATGAGCAGGTGCAGGTGAGAAGGCAAAAGATGGGGAAAGATGACAGTTAGCTGATGAAAATAGGACTTGGTAGAAATTTCAGTAGCACTTCGTGATCACATCCAGGAAAGTGTGCAAACTTCGGAAAGCGATATCTGACAATCCAAGCGATGAAACAGTCCGAAATTTTACGACGTTGTAGCTGACACCAAGAGCGTTCTTTTGCAAGTCCAATGACTCAATTTTGTCTACTATCGAGCGAGCTATGGCGTTTGGCGCATTGGGGGTTTTTGAAAATCCACCCAACAGAAAACTAGTTGAGAGGCGGCGGCTAGGAGTCTAGCAGCGGCTATGGAGGGGACGGCAATAAGGTGCACGTCGAAAGGGGACGGGGCGGAAGCGTGGGGAAGGATCGGGATTTAAAATTTGGCGTGAGCCATTATTGCTCTATACCATGTTAGAAACAGAAAGGTTCAGTTTATTGATGAAGCAAAGGCATTACATAGGAAGAGAGGGATGAGCTAGGAAGGGAAGGGTGGAAGGGAAAGGGGGGTTAGGACCAATCACAAGGGAGGGAGGATCCTTCCAAATGTGCTTGACCACCAGTTGGAGGTGGTCCAAGTGTGGTGTACCACCAGTGGTTTAGCCAACCCACTTGTGGTGCCCCCACAATTGTGGTCCTTGTGTTTGGGGGCTCCAACCACAATTGGGTTGGATTGACATCCCAACACAGGTGTACACCCAATTAGGGATGTAAACACAATATACACAACTAGCATAGCATGGTATATTCTAACAAAGGTTTGCCAAATCACTTGGGCCGCACAGAAGTTATCGAGTTTGCCATTGCGAAATTCTCCCCCGCCATCAGAATGGAGGGACTTCAGAGGAGTGCCGAACGTGACTTGAGCCTGGCGCACCCACGCCATGATGACATCAGGTGCCTCCGCGTTGGTATGCAGGAGGTGCACAGAAACATACCGCGAGTGGTCATCGACTAGTGTAAGAAAGTACCGATGACCGCCTCGGGATGCGACTGGAGCTGGGCCCCAGACATCCATGTGCACAATGTTCAGCGGAGCAGCTGCGACGGATGGGGAGGAAGGGTGCGGCTGCTGCCTGAGCTTGCTCTTGGTGCAGTCCAGGCAGGTGGGTGCAGGTGAGTCTGGTGGTGGAGGAAGCGCCGACGCGAGGCCAAGAAGAAGTTTCTTGGAAGCGATGTCGGCAAGTGTACGGAAGTTGGGGTGACCCAAGCGATGATGGTAGAGGATGGTTGCGTTGGCAAAGCTGCGACACGAACACGGAGTGGTGCTGGCAGCTTGCGCTTGGGAGAGGGCGGCGAGAGGTGCAGGTGAACGCAGCGTGTAGAGCTTGCTACTGTTGAGTGTGAAGCGTGCTAGGAGCTTGTTGGACTTAGGGTCAAAGAGGTCACTGTGATCAGAGTGTGCTGGGAAGATCGTTGTGACGCCTGCCCGTTGGAGCTCGTGTTGGGCCACGAGATTG